ATGTCCTATTTAACTTCAATGTCGAAAATATGTGGAATGTTCTGCATGTTCAATGTCACATTTATCTTCAATGTCGAAAGCACGTAGGTGCTGAATGTCCTATTTAACTTCAATGTCGAAAGCATGATATACATGAATATTGGCGGTGATATGACGCCATAAATCTCTGCATTCCTGTTCAATTTGGACGGATCGGACGAATACAACTATACTGGACAAGCTACGTGAGTCCTACCAATACACTAAGGCCCCAGTTACACGATATCGGATTCGCATCGGAGCGACATCTTCGAGGTGAATTTGGCACTTAAAATTATGATAATATAACATAATTAAACAAAAACTTCATATATGAAAAGTTGTAATAGCAGACATGACTGGAAATTAAACACTTTAAATTGATGTCGCTCCGATACGAATTCGGTATCGTGTAACTGGGGCCTAAGCCTCATTCGCGAAATCTACGAATCAGTCAATGGAGTAGATTTAATAGTATATATAGGTAGCCTGCATCACAGACTCTACAATAATCATGGAAAAAACCCTTGAGACCATTCCAGCCAATATTAGTAAGTTATTGAACATTGACAGAACAAACGTTGACTCCCCCAGTTCAATCTTGTAAACAACGCCGAAACAACTTTTGGTAATATGCCATGACACAAGCTCAACATTGAGTTGGGGAGCGGGGACTTAAAGTGCCTATGACACGAAATTTCACCCCAAATGTTTATGATTGCATTGTAAAGATCACTTAAAATGAGTTAATAATTTCTTTTATAGAATTTTGGTAACTTGCTTCCTTTGTAAAATATTCAACTTTGGCCATATGCAAATATCACCGGTGTGACATCACATCGCATAATGACATTATGAAAACGCAATATTTTACCTTGATAAAATATTATTTTTACCAACAAATACAGAGGGTTAATTACCAGTTATGAAATGAATACATATACAAGGGCAATTTTTACGTTTTTTAGATGCGTATTCGTCAAGGAAACTATACTTTTCTGAAAATCATTATGTGATGTGATGTGATGTCACACCGGTGATATTTGCATATGAAACAAAGTTGAATATCTTGAAAAGGAAGCAAGTTACCAAAATTCTATAAAAGAAATTATTAAGTCATTTTAAGCGATCTTTACAATGCAACCATAAACCTTTGGGGTAAAATTTCGTGTCATAGGCACTTTAGGAAGGGCAACATGATTCAACATGGAATTTATCATAAGAATATGCGAATTTTGTATAGGGGGGGGGGGGAATAGTCTCAACCAGTTGTGTCCAAGATTGTAACTTGATTCCTCGTAGAGTGTAAATATTTTTTTTATATATATAAACTTTATTGACATATTTACCTCAAAAGCCAAGGCTTATTATTATTATTATTATTATTTTTCAACACCTTTATCCAACATATAAAAGCTGAAAAATATCGCCAATTTGCTTTCTCCTTCCAGTTTTTAAATCCCATCCACTGGTTCCAGTTCGCTGATGATGCTGCGGTCATAAGTAGTCAAGAATCGGAAAATCAACATCTCTTAAACCGGTTCTCTATTTGGTGCCAATGGTCCAATATGATTATTCGGGTGGATAAATGTTGTACCTTTGGCATAAAAAAAGCCCTGACAAAATCAATCCAGTATCTGCCGAAACTACTCATTAATAACCAACTAATTCCCACTACCCGTCTCGGAGAAAATTTTCAATACTTAGGAAGATACTTTAACTTTAATATGTCTGATGAAAAACACAAATCTGAACTAACCTCACTTGTTGACGAACTAATGGCTGATATTGATTCTAAACCACTACACCCAAAAAATAAAATCCTCCTCTACAGTCGGTATGTTTTGGCGAAACTATCATGGCATTTCACCGTTACTGGTCTATCGAAAACCTGGGTCATTGAAAATATTGATTCCAACGTGAACAGTTATATTCGTAAATTGCTTGATATACCTATATCCGGAACGCTGAGCACTGTCTTCCTAACCCGAAACAAATTTGGTCTCAATATTTTCCTTCCATCTATAAAATTCATCCAATGCCAAACTGTTCTCCGTAAAGCTCTAAAAATATCTCCAAACGTAGCTATTAACGAACTTTGGAAGTCAACAAGTAACAGCAAAAATATCCAGTACGACATCTATCACTCGACCAAGCCAGTTCTTAAGGATTTTCGCTCTGGACAAGAGGATAGACTGCGTAACCAACTAACATGCCAAGGATCCTTCTTCACCAATATTACAAAGTTCTCTCTTTCCCAACTGACGAAACTTTGGTCCACATGTCAATCGAACCTGCCGAAAAATATATTCAACTTTACTGTACGATATATTAACAATTCTCTCCCAACGTGGCAAAATCTTGCAAGATGGGCTATATCGACAACTTCAGACTGCACTTATTGCCTAGCCCCCGAAACCCTTTTGCACGTTGTAGCAGGTTGTCAATCATATCTGGAACGATACACATGGAAACACGATTCTGTCTTAAACTTTCTTGCGACGAACCTGCCGACTGTCAGCGGATCATGTCTTTATGTGGATCTCCCAGGATACAAAAGTCCATCCATCATTACTGGTGACTGTTATCGTCCTGATTTGCTGCTGTCAACCTCAACTCCTCAAGTGGATGTTTATATATCGTGGAACTAACTGTTGGGTACGAGTCTAATCTCGAAAAGAATGTTCAACGCAAAAAGGCCAAATACTCAGAATTGATTAGGGAACAAAGCGAGCATTCCGAGAACGTCAAATTTATAAATATTTCAATTAGCAGTCTTGGAGTTTTTGCAAAAGAATGCTTGACTTTCATGGACATGCTTAATGATCTTGGCTTCGATAAAAACCACCAAAAATACTGCTTTAGACGAATGACGACGATTGCGATCAGAACAACTTACTATATATTTTGCTGCAGAAACAAAGAATGGACAAATCCAGAACTATTAACCTTTTAAAAATTGTACTATATATTTGTTGTTTGTTATTATTGTTATATTGTGTATGTATAGTTATTATTGATTCAAGTAGACGATTGTGAATTACCTTATATAAGTGAGATTTACAATTGTATGTAACTTAAAAAAAATCCATTAATAAAGTTTCCATTATTGTTATTGTTATCGTTGTTGTTGTTGTTGTTGTTATTATTGTTGTTGTTGTTATTATTATTATTATTATTGTTGTTATTATTATTATTATTATTATTATTATTATTATTATTATTATTATTATTATTATTATTATTATTATTATTATTATTATTATTATTATTATATAAAAACCTAATTAGAGAACTGGATCAAAACTTTACATTAGTTAAATTTATAAATCTTTCTGTCAGTTCGCTAGGGGTGTTTGACAAAGAATGTCATACATTCGTAAAAATGCTAAATGAGTTAGGACTGGATAATCAACACCAACAATATTGTATCAGAAAAATTATATCTATTGCCATCCGATCAACGTACTACATATTTTGCTGTAGAAATAAAGAATGGACAAATCCCGAACTAATGAACATTTAAAGTAACTATTTCTGTAAATAAGCAGTAAATTTTGTATATAAAATTATAACCATGCACGTATAAGTGATTCAAGTAGTCAATTGTAGGTTACCTCAAGAAGTGAGATTTACAATTGTATATATCTATAAATGTTCTATTAATAAAGTTTTCATTATTACTATTATTACTGGCTGTTCAAGGATAATCCAACAAGATGTGCATGTGGAGATCTTGTATCGACCATGCTATGATATGTAAGAAAGGAGTTTTTATCATTCAACGCCATGACGAATTACGAGATCTGGAAGCTGACCTGTTTGATATTGTCTGTAACGAAGTCCAAATTGAACCAGCTCTGCAAGAAGTAAATGGTGAAGTGCTAAACTCAGGGTCAAACAAAGCACAAGATGCCAGTTTGGATGTTCATGCATGCACGTGGCTTTTGGGAAAGACAAAGATCCGCATTCTTCGATGTCCGGATATGCCACACAAATGCGGAATCTTATAAAGAGTTAACCCCAAAGTAGATTTATCGTATGCATGAAAATGAGAAGAAACGAATTTATAACCAACGAGTTACTGCTATAGAACAAGGAACATTCACGCCGTTAATTTTTACAACAACTGGTGGTATGAGTGATCAAGAATGCAAGAAATATCACAGTCGATTAGCATAATTAATTGCCATAAAGAAGGGAGAAAAGTATTCAAAAACAATGGCTTGGATAAGAGCAAAGATATCATTTTCGATCATTAGATCTGCTCTCCTATGCCTTCGAGGATCGAGAATAACGAGAAAGAAACAATGTGATGTTAAAGACACGGACATAGATATTGAGACAGAAATTGCCAGAATATACTAGCAGTTAAACATTTTATTTAAACATTTTATTTAAAGGATTGTTTGGTTTTAAAAACACAAACTTAGAACAAAATGACAATTTTTTTAGTATTATCAGTACAGACCAAAACATATATTTCTTTTATATATTTAATTTTAATCTTAACTTTGTACAATTTTATCGAGCTTCTAAACAATTAAATTATTATTAAATTATAACTATTATTATTATTATTATTATTATTAATATTATTTCGTTTCAACGTTGTCCAATTTTAAGAACGCATTTATGGAGAATTATCTGTAAATGCTGGAACGAAAAAAATATTCCATCTGTCTGGAAGCACGCGGCGGCGATATTGTTCCTTAAAAAAGATTCAACTGAGGATCCTGCTAATTTCCGTCCTATCTGTCTAGAGCCTGTTTTGCTAAAAGTCATAACATCATTGCTAAGGAATAGAATCTTTAAGTTTGTTTGCGAAAACGAATTTATTGAGTTGGGAATCCAGAAAGGTTTTTGGCCTGGAATTTCGGGGACTATTGAACATACGGAATTATTATCACATATTATTAACCATGCCAGAAATAAGCAAAGATCTCTTGTAGTTACTTTAATTGATCTGAAAAATGCCTTTGGTGAGGTACATCATAAACTTATACGAACTATCTTGACAGCTTATCACATTCCTGAAGAAATTATATGCTTTGTTGAGAATCTCTACTCTGATTTCAGTATCTCAATTATTACGAAAGGATTCATTACGAAACCAATTCCAGTGCAACGAGGCGTGTTACAAGGTGATTGTTTATCACCCTTGTTATTTAATCTTTGTGTAAATTCTTTGATTCACACAATAAACGACGCGAAATTAAAATGTCTTGGCTATGTAAATAACGCAACGATGTACCCTAGGCACTGGTTCCAATTTGCGGATGACACAGCAATATTAAGTGCACATGAAGAGGACAATCAATTGCTTTGTAATGTATTTAATAAATGGTCAACGTGGGCGGATTTGCATATTCGTGTTGAGAAATGCCATACTTTTGGAATCAAGAAGCAATCCTCAAAAGCAATTCAATACCAACCAGTTATTATCATCTCGGGCAAGCGTGTACCGCCGATTGAATGCGAACAGGGGTTTAACTATCTTGGAAAGCAATTTAACTTTAATATGGAATGCGATCAGATCAAAGTAGAGATACTAAGTGAAATCGACGAATATCTGCAGAAAATAGATCTTTTCCCCATTAATCCTTTTTCGAAAATCAGAATTATTCAGAATTATGTTTATTCAAAGCTCCGTTGGCGATTTTCTATATACCCCTTTACTGAAACCTGGATAAAGCAAAATATTGAGCCAGCTATTTCCAAGTATATTCGAAAATGGTTACAGATCTCGATTAGTGGCAATATCACTCATCTAAAACTACCAAAATCATATCTAGGGATTGACTTTTGCTCTGCTTCAGATATATATTTACAATGCAAACTTTCGGTTAGGCGCATATTGAAAACATCTAGGAACAGTGATATTCAACATCTGTATTCTGTAACATCTTCCAAAAATATTAATACGGATGAAATAATTGAGAAAGTATCATCAAATGTAACAAATGGATACGAACTGAAAACCGGAACAAATAAGTTATTGAAACAGCAAAGTAAAAATGATATTTGGGCAAATTTTATTACGCTAAAGGAACAAAGTATTATTATAAACTATCTAACTGAAGCGTGCAACAAGAAAATACTGCACTTTTGGCAAGAAATGGTTTGCAGACTACCCCGTAATATAACTTGTTTTGCAAGACGGGCTCTAGTGCTTAACTTGAGCAACAATTCTAACCTCAAGCGGTGGAACATTCGAGATTCTCCAAATTGTGACCTTTGCAACAAAATTCAAACACAGCTTCATGTTCTGTCATATTGCCCTGTAGCGTTACAACAACATCGATATACGTGGAGGCATGATTCTATATTAAACACCATTCTTCATCACTTAAGGAGAGTGATGTCGGAAGACCTGGAGATTTTTGCCGATTGTCCAGACTCTGGCTTGAAATGTACGTCCAATCTGTTTCAAGCGTTAAGGCCAGATATTACGATTCGTTATAAAAGAGATTTGTATGTGATTGAATTGACTGTCCCATATGAAACGAACTGCATGATTGCAAGACGACGTAAACAAGAAAAATATCGGGCATTGCGATCACAGTTACTCGTACCGTGTGATAGATTTAAAGTTATAACTTTGGAAGTCACTACTCTAGGCTTCGTCACGAAGAGTATAGGCCAATTTCGTAGGCTATGTAGGTTGTTAAATTTGCAAGACGATCGTATCATAACAAAATGTATGGAGGTTGCACTTCGTGCCACTTTCTACATATTTTGTAAGAGAAATAAGAACTGGTCTTGCCCTGAAAAACTCAACTTCTATTAGCTACTAATGTGTGACAGTGTAGATAACGGACCTGCTTATTCAGAGAACTGTTGTCTTATTTATTAAGTGTAGTTAGGGAAAATTTGGTCTGGACTCATAAATGTATGACTATATGGGTCAGGCTATGTAATTGATTTGTAAAGGTTTAAAAAAATTATTATGAATTTGAAAGCCCCTCGATTATTACGGGAGATGAATATCGACCTGATTTACTTGTCTCCACTTCAGACAAACACCTCTACGTTGTTGAACTTACCGTAGGCTTTGAATCAAACCTCACAAACAATGTTAACTCCGCAAGAAAGCTAAATATAAAAACCTAATTAGAGAACTGGATCAAAACTTCACATCTGTTAAATTTATAAATCTTTCTGTCAGTTCGCTAGGGGTGTTTGACAAAGAATGTCATACATTCGTAAAAATGCTAAATCAGTTAGGACTGGATAATCAACACCAACAATATTGTGTCAGAAAAATTATATCTATTGCCATCCGATCAACGTACTACATATTTTGCTGTAGAAATAAAGAATGGACAAATCCCGAACTAATGAACATTTAATGTAACTATTTCTATAAATAATTAAGAATTTTTGTACATAAAATTATAACCATGCATGTATAAGTGATTCAAGTAGTCAGTTGTAGGTTACCTCAAGAAGTGAGATTTACAATTGTATATATCTATAAATGTTCTATGAATAAAGTTTTTATTATTATTATTATTATTATTATTATTATTATTATTATTATTATTATTATTATTATTATTATTATTATTATTATTATTATTATTATTATTATTATTATTATTATTATTATTATTATTATTATTATTATTATTATTATGATAAAGTCAAGTTCGTCAATTTATCCTTGAGTACCCTCGGAGTTTTTGGCCGATCTTGTGAAAATTTCGATGGCATGCATGCTAATAAGTAGCCTTAAATGTGATGCCAAGTATAGTAAATACATAAAAAAGCAAATCGTGAACATGTGCATGCGAACATCATATTATGTATTTTGTAAACGAAACAAGGTGTGGGATAACCCAAAATTAATGTTAATATAATCCTTCTTAAAATAACTATTGTACAATAAATATATAGTATCAATTCAAGTAGACATTGATAAACTACCTGTAAAGCGAGGTTTATCATTGTAGTTGTATATATCCTAATAATCAATAAATAAAGTTTCCATTATTATTATTATTACTTCATAGCATCCATACTTAAATCTGTGAACCATTGTAACCTTTATGCTGACCTTCCTGGCTATATCAGTCCATCTGTTATCACCGGAGATGAATTGCGCCCTGATCTTTTGATAACACTTGAAAACAAATGTATTTATATACTTGAACTTACCGTCGGATTTGAATCTAATCTCCTCATTAATGCAACTCGAAAAAGACAAAAATATCAAGATCTAATTAACGAACAGCTCAAAAATTATGAAAAAGTGAAATTTGTAAATTTATCGATTAGCTCATTAGGAGTTTTCAGCCACCCGTCGCTAGATTTCACCGAAATGCTGAAGGATCTAAAGTTTGATGAACAATGTAGAAAGTACTATGTTCGGAAAATTATTACCTCCGCCAGGAGGTTATGTAATCATCTGGGTTTGTATGTGTGTGTGTGTGTGTGTGTGTATGTGTGTGTGTATGTGTGTGTGTGTGTATGTGTGTGTGTGTGTATGTGTGTGTGTGTGTATGTGTGTGTGTTTGTCTGTGAGCACGATAACTCAAGAAATACCAAACATATCCGTACGAAATTTTTTTAATGCATTTCCCATCGGCTAAGGAAGAACTGATTAAAATTTGGTTGAATTTGGTTAAAAATTGAACGAGAAATGAACAAAATTTTGTCTTGCTTTTCCCGGTCAATTAACAAAATATATTACTGAATGCGTAATTAGGACGTGTATAATTTATGCACTCAGTGCTAAGACAGTAATGAGATGATAAACCTCATTAAGCTTCGGCCTCATTATCTATTGTCTTAGTTGCATTTCACGCGACCGAAATTCAATGTCTAAAACAAGGCTTACGGAGTTACGCATTATTACGTTCAGCAAAGTGCCAGTCCATTCAAATTCTAACAACATTAGATTACTTCAATACAGGGTGTATAAAAAGAACGCAACCTCGAAATTTCCCAAGAAATCGACATTGTTTTAAAGACAAAAGATTTTAGCTGCCTGGAATTTAAAATAGCACAACTGTGAAAATTACTGCACGCGCGAGTGCACTTAATAAGTTTTTATTTTACAAGTACTGTACAGTACAACAACAGTAATATGTTCTATTAGCAATTCGATTTCAATTCGCGGGGGCCTGAAATCTTTTATGCTTAAGAATTATAAAGTGGATTTCTTAGGAAATTCCAAGGTTGCGTTTCACTTCCGAGTAACGGGCGGAGGTATGCAGTCTCTGAGTGCCCTCTAGTTAATATATGTATCAGGTCCTCGTATTATATATTCTGTAAGCGTAACAAAGAATGGGATAACCCACAACTAATGTCATACTAATATTGTTATTATGTAGAGTGTTAATTCAAGTAGACACTGGTAAACTACCTGTAAAGAGAGGTTTATCATTGTAGTGTGTATATATATTATTGAAAGTAATAAAGTTTCCATTATTATTATTATTATTATTATTATTATTATTATTATTATTATTATTATTATTATAGC